TCAGCAATGTCCCCTCTAAGCTGCGGAGTCTTGTCAGGAATAATCCTGCTTTGTGAGCTAAAGGTAAAGGTTCCCTTGCTCGAAAGCCAGTCGAGTCCGACTCTAGGGTGGCGGTGCTCATCCCCGTTTCCAAGCCGAAGAGCCAGCGCTGTCCGAAGACGTTTCCGTGGTCACGTGGCCGGCATGACTCAACACCGAGGCGCACGGAACGCTGTTCCCTTCCCACCGAAGTGGTCCCGATTTATCTACTTGCAGTTTCTTGCTTGGTTGGCAGGAAGTAGGAAGTAGCTTTGTGAGCTACTTGGCATTCAAGTTGCGAGCGATTTGGCTGCTGCATGAATTAGTTTGCTCTGGAGCCCCATCCCTTCCTGAGCCGAGGCAAAAATGAGTGAGGCCGAGGCTAGAAAACTGTGAGCTGGCTCACACGAACTCGGCTTAGAGGGAACACTGGCTTCAGCCAGGCTGCCTCCAGCGACGCCCTCTGCGGCTCAGCGGGGCTCCTCGGGAGTAACCCTGCCCCCCTGGGCGGCCCTCCCGTCGTCCGTCCCCCCCCTGCTGCCTTATTCCTTGGATCTCTCCTCTCTTGAATCAGGGGAGGGTCCCGACTCGCCCTGCAGCACCCGCCTTGGGCTGAGTCCCTGCAAGAAAGGCTGACTGCAAGAATCGCCGGTAAAATACCAATGAAGATCCGGGCTTTGAAGCTGCCCACAGTTGCTCCCTTCTGATCATAAGAACATAAGAGACGCCAATGTTGGATCAGGCCAAAGGCCCATCCAGTCCAACACTCTGTGTCACACAGTGGCCAGAAATACCAGTGCCATCAGGAGGTCCAGCAGTGGGGCCAGGACATTAGAAGCGCTCCCACTGTTGACCCCCCCAAGCACCAAGAAGACAGAGCATCACTTGCCCCAGAGCCCCTATCTATACCTTGTGGCCAATAGCCACTGATGGACCTCTGCTCCATATGCTTATCTAATTCCCTTTTGAAGCCGCCCATGCTTGTAGCCGCCACCACTTCCTGTGGCAGTGAATTCCATGTGTTCATCACTCTTTGGGTGAAGAAGTACTTCCTTTTATCGGTTCCAACTATTCTAAACTGAATAGTATTGTCCTATAAGGAAATCAGTTCAGTAGAGACCTCCATTGCATACAGCCTTCCAAGGGGCCAGCCGGGGTGTCTTTCCGCACCAGAAGCTGCGGGGCAGAGAAAAGCCACAAAGAGAGGATTGCAAACGTCCAGGCGGGATCTCCAGTGTTCAGAGATCGATTCTCCTGGGGGGAAAGTGGCAGCTTTGGGGAGTGGACTCCCCCTGGCATGATGCCCCACAGGGGGCCTCCCCCTTCCGAAAACCCAGGCCCCACCCCCAAATGTCCAGGAATTTCCCAACCTGGAGTTGGCAACCCCGCACAGAGCAGAGGCCTCCTGAGTTCTTTTCTGCATGATCCCTCTCTGAGGGGGATCCTCCCGTGACCTGAGTAGAGTGGCTGTTTCAACACCACCCCAAATACGGACCAGTCCAAGATGTGGCCCTGATGCTGGAGACATGGAAGGTGGGAATCCACAGGCTTTCCATCCTGACACACAGGACCCTCCCCCACCGCGTGAAGGGAGCACAAAGCCTCAACTTGAAATCTCACTCTTCTCTCTCGTTGGCTCCCTGTATTGTGGGGGTGGTGGAAAAGGCCATCAAGTTGCAGCTGCCCCAAAGCCCCCCCCCCCCAGAGTTTTCAAGACCAGAGGCGTTCAGAGGTGACCAAAATTGGAAGGTATTTTCTTTACATTGAATTTTGCTCTGCTAAGGTGAGTTTATTTTACATTGGGATAAAATTTTACATTAGAAAACTTTTCCCGCATTGTTTATTTCTAGGCACACAAGAGCAACACCAGTCAACTTGTGTGCATCTTCATTTGACACACAAGGCTGGATCCTGGGAGGCCTCACGTGCAATATTTCCCTTCTGTCTTTTGATTTCTTGTTTTCTTTTCTTAAGCAAGTGCAATAAATTTGGGTTTATACATTTGGCTTGTTCAATAATATACCTCATTATTAGACAGAGCATTTTAACTTGTTATTGAAACATCATTTTCTTCCTTGATAGCACTCCTGTTTGGGTCCTATATCTACTTGTGTGTATTGTCTTTTGCTTGTAATAGGAGCCTATTTGTACCTTTAAAAGTAAAGTAAAGGTTCCCTTGCTCGAAAGCCAGTCGAATCCAGTTCTAGGGTTGCGGTGCTAATCTCCATTTCAAAGCCGAAGAGCCAGCGCTGTCCGAAGACATTTCCGTGGTCATGTGGCTGGCATGACTAAACACCAAGGCGCACGGAACACTGTTGCCTTCCCACCGAAGTGGTCCCTATTTATCTACTTGCAATTTCTTTCTTCCGAACTGCTAGGTTGGCAGGAGCTGGAACTAGAGACGGGAGCTCACTCCGTCATGCGGCACACTCAGGTCTCGAACTCCAGAACTACTGACCTTCCACAGCCTGCAGTTCAGCGTCTTAACCACTTGAGCCGCCACAGCTCCATTTGTATCTTAG